CCCAATCAAAAAGAAAATTTGCGAACTATAATACTACCAGGCACACCTTTTGAAATTTAGTTCCCGGCTTACCTGGAATAGATGGAATTAATGGCGATGATGACACTTCTCTGCAATTACATTATTCGGACTCTTGTGCTTTATGCCCTGCTGGACCTCCTGGTCTACCAGGACCTCCAGGACCGGAGGGTTTGTGATCAGCGAGACAAATATTGAGCTGCTTATGGTCAAGTAATTCAGGAGATCCTGGACCACAAGGCTCACCAGGACCACCAGGATTTGACGGAGCTCCAGGTTTTCCTGGTCCAAAAGGACCCATAGGAGACAGGGGACTACCAGGTAACTCAGAATACATCGGTTCTCGAAAATTACGCAAAATTAATAATAGGTGCTCGTGGAAAGCAAGGCCCACCCGGCATACCAGGAGGAAAAGGAATTATATACACTCGCGTACCCGGACCACCTGGACCTCCAGGTCCTGTGGGAGTGCCAGGTTCGGTTGGTGAGCCAGGACTACCCGGTCTAGACGGCCTACCAGGGACACCAGGACCACAAGGACCGCCCGGACCAAATGGAAGTGGAGGAGCTGACGGCAATTACGGCCCAGTAAGCAGGCTGCTTTCGTTATTTGACACTATTGCGCTTTAACTCAAACATTTAGCGAGGAGATCCTGGACTAACACTCGATGATGGCTACTGTCCTTGCAGACCAGATACAAGATATAATGAAGAATACAAAAAAGAGAATGGCATATCTTAGTAATTGTGTTTTCTCGAACTCTCTTGCGACATTCATTCCAAATAAATGGAGTAATCGCTATCACAAAGGCAAACCAACCTCAAAATCAGAAATATCAGATCAGAAGTGTTGAACACAAAAATATGTCTAATGCGGTACTACGAAGAAAAATAAATAAATTATATGCCTCAACGGCAAAATTAAAACGGTAACAGCGATAGATAAAAGTCAACAAATTGTGTTAGTTAATATGGTTAATCTGAAGATATGATACATGAGTACATATTCTCGTTAGCAATAAAACTAACAATCACATGAAAGTCTGATGATGAGCTATTCATTAAGATAGGTTTCTATACCTGTAATAAGATGTTCATGCGAGACTGATAATCGACAATAATCACTTCTTTACCTGAAAGTATAAATAAGATTTTGCAAATTGATCTTCATATACAATCAACTTGCTTGTTTGTTGGCCTGTCTTTGCCTTTCAATCACCATCTGGATTGCTTCGTCTTTATCTTTTAAGAGTTGCTCCACCTTTTCGCGATGCTTCTTTTCAGCACTCATCAAATCTGCTTGCAGTGATGCTATCTAAAAACTTAGTAAAAAAGAACTATATAAACATTAAAAATCCCTAGAATAAATTAGAGTGATAAAATAGCCCTGATTTTGGATCTATAAGCTGAGAATGCAGATGCTTATGATGCTGGTTCGCACATCCAGAGTACGCCTCACTTATAACGTGATGCGAGATGTAAGATGCGATGCAATGAGATGAGATGTTTGCTTTCCCGCCTGATAGGTGCAACTTATCCACTCAAGAATAGGGTAAGAGGTGAATTGACGTGGATCTTTTAATTTTCACAAACAATTCTTTCACATATGAAAGTAGTGAGATTCGACCAACCTTTTTGTCCTTCTCAAGCATAGCTGCCTCCTTTTGCGCAACTATGGAGTTGAGTTTGGCGATTTGATCCCGCAGTTGTTGAACAAGCATCACATTTTCACCAGAGTCAGCAAAAGGATCCCGTTTTACAACCTTCGCAGGCTCAGCCTGTGACTTGTCAGCCTTCAAAGATATTAGTAAACTCCAGTCAACACAACTGTGAATGTAACAAAAGATCGACTGAGCGTATTACATAGTTCTTCAAATGCGCTTGACTTTAGAAAGCACTCCAAAAATGATCAGTAAAAGCATGCAACAGCAATGGCCGATAAGTGAACTTTTTATAAGAAGAACAATAGGATTCACCTTTTTCTTCTCTTCTCTCTTGCGTTTTTGTCCGGTGTGTTCATGAGCCGATATGGCCACTCCAGCCAAATTAGTTAATTTATTTGCTCGTGCTTGGAGCACGCACATACGACACAATGTAGGTTTAGCCTGAAGTAATGTGGAGAGTAGCTAGAGCTTTAGATGATACTGTCAATATTTTTGACAATCCTGCTGAAAACAGATTTCAAACAGGTCGAACTTGTGCACAGAAATATCTCGGAAATTTGTTCTGTAGCAGAACTTTTCATAGTTGCAGTTGTTAATCTAAACCCATTAGCTCACAATTGTACAGCATAACCTCAACTCTGAGAAGAAGAGAAAAACAGGGGGAACATG